AGAAGAAGAGGGTTCGAGGTTTGTCGCGATGGGAATTGGCGGCCGTGGAGTGCGGAGGGGTCGGACAGATGTCGGGTGAGAAGCAGAAAAAACTATCGTCAAAGCGGAACCAAACAGCTCTTAACCACCCACACAACGACCGCTGTAGCACAAGACGGGGGATGCCACCCCCCCTCCCCCGTCTCCAGCAGAGCGCACTGGCAGGTAAATATGACTGGCGGTACATAGCACAAGCCTGCGGACGAGAGGGGATGCCCTTTTCTGCCAAGGTTCTTCCCATTCTTGTAAAGCCTGCTCTTGAGTACCCCAGAGAGGGCTTGCACCAATAGAACGCGTGCGACCACCCGCTTGCGATAGCTACGAACGCGGCGGCAGACGTCCACCAAGCCCAAGAAACGCCCAGATTTTCCACGTCTACAGCTGTGTCGCAGCAGTATTTCGAGCACACCATTCTTCCCCACTGCCATTGGTTGCGTGGATTATGTATTGGCGGGTGCGCTTTACAGTGCAGGAGGCGTACGGTCTCTGCCAGGACTCACCATGACGGTGTCGAAGCAGTGTTTGCGCAACGTCGCCACGTCCTTGAACGCGGGGTCCCCCGGGCGGATCGGCTCGTGCACGGTGATCTTGGTGCGTTGCCTGGGGCCGTGGAACAAGTTCTCCGGCAGATCAAGCGTGAACGGCACCTGGATGAAAAAAAAACAAAGGATAAAAACGTAAACGCGAGACAGACTTCGTCATGGTTTGGGTGCTTTCGGTGTTGGTGTGCTCGGCCACGCCGTCGGTGCCAACGGACCACGAGTGAACGGGCACGCGGAGAGACTTTGCCAGCTTCCAAAAAAAGTAGACACGTACGTGGTAGACTGCTACTGCTGCTGCTGTCTTGTCTTGGTATTGTTTTCAATCTGAAGGCACCGTGCGTTTCCCACACGCGTTCGCGGTGGTTGTTCGACAAGCGTGCGGTGCAACAACATGGGTATGCAGCAGGGAACATAGCTCGTGCTACAAGCAGAGTATCGTTGCAACTTACTGATGGGGCATCGTGCATGTTTTCAAGACATCCCGTCGGGAACAAGAAATAATGATTAAATATTCAGCTACAGCTCCTTCCGGTCAGCTCGAAGTAAGCGTGGAAAAAAAAAAACGTGGGTGATGTGCAACAAGACAACACGAACCAAACTGCAGCATGTACACACAGCACACGTCATCGACCATTCCTCACCACGACGCTGTTGCTGTCGATGGCGAGCTGGAACGCCCCGTCCTTGAAGTCCAGCACCTTCAGCCGCCTCCGGGTGCCCTGGGGGAAGATCATGACCGACCAGCCGGCCGCGAGTCGCTCCTTGCAGTCGTCGAACATCTTCTTGACGCTGTCCCGGTTGCCGCGGGTCAGGGCGACGTATCCCGCGATCTTCATGAGCAGCCCTACCCCGGGGATGAGGAACACCGTGCTCTTGCTCACCCACGAGAACTTGCGCTCCGCTCCGATGTAGTAGAAGAGGGCAATGTCGACCGAGGTCTGGTGGTTCGACACGTACACCATGCCCTTCTCCCCGTCCGAAGGCAGGTTCTCGAGCCCGATCACGACCGGAGGCTTGGACAGGATCCGGAACATGAGCTGGCCCATGATGCTGCCGTAGTAGTGGACCTTCTCGGCGGCCCGCTCCCGCCTGCCGAGGAGCAGGTCCGGGATGCACAGCGCCGAGCACAGGAGGGATCCGTTCATCCAGGTGAGCGAGAATGCGAGCATCTTGGGGAGGCTGACCCTCGACGCCCCGCCGTAGGACTTGAGCTCCTGGAGGTACATGGCCACGGCGAACAGGAGGAAGTAGCACGAGAGGAGGACCCACACGCCCAGGCAGACCCAGGCCCAGCGCGGCCACTGGGAGGGTTGCGCGGCCAGGTCTGCCGCCAGGCTCATGACGGTTGACGCCGCCGTGCTCGCGAGGGTCTTGACGGAGCCCAACACATCATGATGGCTGTCGTGATCGGCATGATGCTCGCAGCAAGGCATGCTGTTTGTCTTCGTGAACGAGGTGGAGTTCTGGTGCGGTGCTTCCCTTGCGTCTAGAAGTCAGCTAGCTGCTGCTGTGTGTCGTTGTTGTGGTGTCGCGACTCTGATCTCTCGATCTCCTTCTCGAACCTCCTCGACTCTCACAAGCGCTTTGCGCAGCAGGAGCCTAAAAACGCGAAAGCGCCGGCGGAGAGGTCGCAGGCCGCGAGAGTCCCCTCGCTATCCAACCTCGGGAGAAGCTTCGAGCAGAGGGATGGCTCCCCGTTTCTCTCCCCTTGCAAAAACAGGAGCACGCCGTTGGTCTTTCGCCAGCAGCCGTTGTTCCTTGTTTCTTCCGCCTAGTATTGTACTGCGACAGCAGGCGACGTTGTCACTTCGCCTGTGGTGCCTGGTGGCCCCGCGAAATCAATTTGTGGTGTGTGCATTTTATAGGGGGCTTTTTGGGAGGTGGCGCTCGTGGTGCTCCCCGAGGTGCCCCACACGACCAAGCCCCGGTCTTCTTGCTCCTCAGAGCAACCCCCAGCGTCGCCATGCAAGTGAGTATGTTCCCCAGGAGTCATTTTTGGCACAGCATGCTACCTGATATGCATGCTTGTCGAAAGCTAGCAATGAGAAGAGGTCTGCTACCCGGGGAGGTTCTCTCTGTTCGCCATAGCCACACACCAAGGCGGCGAGACGCGGACTTTTGCGGCTCGGTGCTCTCCAGCGCTTTGGCCACTGCGTAGCCTTCTGCCGCGACGTTAGGATCCCGACAAGGAGGTCCTGTCCGCCTGCAACGTAGAATCGTGTTGGCTGATTTTCTACTGCTCCACCATCGAATGACACACACGAACGCCCTCTCCCTTCCCTCCGCGCTGCTGCTGCCCCGCACAAACATCGCCCATCTACTGCTGCATCTCTCAACAGATCTTCGTGAAGGCGCAGTCGACAATCACCTTGGGTGTTGAGCCCACCGACACCGTCGATGGCGTCAAGCAGATGATCCAGGAGAGGGAGGTGAGCCGTGACAACTGCTGTTCGTTCGTGGTTTCGGTAACGAAATGCAATCTTTTCTGAAGTATTTGTGACAAGCCTTGTTGTGCTCCAAAACAGGGTGGAACTGCTCTCGCGATGCAGTAAGAAAGTCGCTCTCTCTATGTAACCAAGTGAACCGTTTGTAACCGAGCTTGTAGCAAACGGGCAGGGAGCGCCGCCCGCCCCGAAGGCGCAAAACTAAGATTAAAAGTATGCAGTCTGCGGAGTATGAAGTTTCATGCTGTCACATGCTTTGGACTCGTACAATTTGGTTGCGATGTTTGTGTCGATGGAAACGCGCGTTGTGCTGCATCATCCTATCGGAGGAAGTCACTGACGGCCAATCACCGCCGTCGGAGTATGAAGTGTGATGCTTGTCACATGCTTCGGACTCTTGCAATTTGGTTGCGATGTTTGTGTCGATGGAAACGCGCGCTGTGCTGCATCATTCTCTCGGAGGAAAGTCACTAACGGCCAATCACCGCCGTTGCCGCACAGCACGAAACGAAAAGCGGATTATTTCGTCCCATGCAGCATGCATCTAGTCTAAATCATATGGACGTGCAGAGCGTGCCTGCTGCTTTCACTCAAGCCAGTTGCAATGTGTCCCAAGTACTGCCATGTCAAAGCCCTCTCCAACCAGCGCACGGTCTGGCTATTGCTAACCCTTACCCTAACCCTCTCCCACTACTGCTGTACCGTCCGTTCGTGCAACTGCTGTGGTGTCTACCTTTGTCCCTCGCAAACCCCCCACGCAGGTACGTTGATTCAGTTTTTTCTTCAACCGCCTTACTGGTTCGCGGGCTTGGCGTCACCCCTCTGAAGTTGGCAGCCGAAGGAGCGAGACAAATTCTCTCTCGCCGAAACCCGAGGGCTCTCGGTCCTCTAAATAGGGAAGACGAAAATATCCCGCGCGTGTGGGTTTCGCCGGATTCCGGGCTTGTTCTTCGCGGGACGCGGGGAAAAAGTGCACCCAATTCTGTTGGCCCATCCGTCCACCAACCAAACTGTCTCCCCGTCCTATGCATATGCACGCTGAGGACGCTTCCATGCGGCCGCAAGGCCAAGTGGACAGTTGAGGCACTTTAACTCGAGCTAAAAGTGTCGCCCTTTTGTATTTTTCGCCCCCCCCTTTCCCCCCCCCCCCCCCCCCCCCCCCCCAAAAAAACAAAAAAAAAAAAAACCCCAAAAAAAAAAAAAAAAACATTTTTTTTTTTTTTTTTTTACTTTTTCCCCTAAAAAAAAAAATTTAAAAAAAAAAATTACACCTTTTTTTTTTTTTTTTCCCTTTTTTAAAACCCCCCTTTTTAAAAAAATTTTCCTTTTTACCACACCCTTTTTTTTTTTCCTTTTTTTTTTTTTTAAAAAAAAAAAAATTCCTTTTTTTAAAAAAAACCTTTTTTTTTAAAAAAAAAAACCACTAAAAAAATTTTTCCTTTCTAAAAAAAAAAAAAAAAAAAAAACCCCCCCTCTCCCTCTCTTTTTTTTTTTTTTAAAAAAAAAAAACAAA